ACCTAAGCCACTTAGTGAGACTTTGCTTCAAAATTTAAAAAAAGCAAAAATGGGCTGGGGATGTGGCTCAGTGGTAAAGCACTGTGGGCTCAATCCTCAGTATTATAATAATAATAATAATAATAATAATAATAATAATAATAATAATAATAATTCCCCCAAAAAAGTTCAAGGTAGAGAAGAAATGGGTACACACCCTGTGTCCCAATTCCTATTTTTCAAATTTCAGTTCTGTCACCCCTAAATCTACTTTTCCTTTAACAACAAGGTCCATCAATCACAAATCAGTAAACATTCTACAACGTATAATAATCTTATAAAATAATGTCTTATATTATAATCTTATAATGTATATATACTATCTACGAGTTACTAAACAGAATGTATATTAATACCGAACACACCCTCCACCCATGTTGGCATTGGGGAATTAGGTGGTATTTACTAACATCACCTTTGAACGGAGGTGAGCTTCACACAATGTGAAATGAACCTTTACGAGAAGCACAATTCAGTGGTATTTCGTACATTTTCAATGGTTTACCACCACGGCTTCTGTTGGTTCCAAAACATTTCCATCAACCAGAAAAGGAAGCCCCATACCCATGAGCCAGTCCCATCCCCTGCCCTCTCCCCACAACCAGACGACGCCCAGTGTACTTTCTCCTCCTCTGCATTGACCATCCTGCATCCTTCCCCTACACCTATTCTTGTCCTATGTAGCCTTCCGCACCGGAATTCCCGGTGGTGGTGCTACAAACTTCATAAAGCTGTACTTAGGTAGGGGAGATTTTAGGCTTTCAATATTTTATCGAGTAGTAAAAAGAGACATTTGAATATATGCTATGAGTACCGCATACATCCTCAATTTTCCGGATACATCCAGGCAGGGAAAAGCAACTTAAAACTGTAGACTGCAGTTTTACTACAGATTAAAAAAAATGCCACCAGAGCTATTAGGAGTTGCAATTTTCAATACGATGAAAAGACCCTGAAGTGTTGATTGTCAAACTCCAGAATATTCTCGTTAAACTGAAGTTCTGTCCTGTTCACACTGAGCAGACCCCCAATTCCATTCATACTTTCAGGGAGACTTAGATATTTTGAAACTCTCATAGGACACTAGTGATTTTTCTTCTTAAATTAAAGACAAGAGAGAAGGGGAGAGGAGAGAGAGAGAGAGAGAGAGAGAGAGAGAGAGAGAGAGAGAGAGAGATTCCTTTAAGAAATGAATGGATCAAATCCCCAGACAGGTTTAAAGATGCTTTATTACTGAATCAGTATGTACAAACTCTAACAGGAAAATAACGAGTAGTGGAATATCAGGCTATGTACAATACTTTTTTGTTTTTTCTTTACAAAACGTTTTTTACAAGATTACTTCTCTCTAAATAACATGACAGACATACACAGAAATCCAACTGTTTTTTATTACACACATAAATAAATACTGACTTTCAGTGACCGCGAGAAGTGACATGACTTCTACAGACCTTTTGGGTGAGAGGGTAACAGCTCTGTTATCTGCAAACTACAATATAATTAAAGAAGAGGAAAAAAAATAATAACTTTATACAGAACTCAGTTAATCACTCTATAAATTGTATAAGTTGCTAAAATATTCAGCAGCGGTAAGACAGTCAGGAGGGTCCATGCCTTACAGGAAACCGACCGTGGTCATGCAAAATCATAGGTGAGAGTGCACGTCTTCATGGATTCCTTTATATTTCAAGATGAAGTTTCAGATACATGCAGATACTTAGCCTTGATGCTCTGGGTATGGTGTAAATCTTCTTTTAATAAGATCTAGAGTTATTTGCAATTATGGGGATGTGTAAATTTGAAAAGCCGTGGACACAGTGTAATAAAGGATATAAATAAGTCAGTATTGTACGTGGCATTTGCTGATACATTGGGGCTTTTCTTATAAAGGGCAAATTCTCAGTAAAGATCACCAGTTCTCAATGGGGTCTTCTCGTGCCCCCGGGGACAGGTAAACACCCTGCAATGCATAGCCCCCTACACCAAAGACCTCTGCAGGCCCAATTTAAAAGTGCTACATTTGAGAAATCCTGATTGATTGAGTCAGTTCATGTGGGTGTCGGGGAGCAGGGTATTTCTAGGATTTGGGTGTGTTTTTAATCTGAAAGTATTACTTAATAAACATTTCAAAAATACCTGTCATAAACTTTAATATGTCATATGCCGCAACAAGCTATTTAATGGACACATGCTAGTTTGTAAAAATCCTTTCCATGAAATTCCACTTAGAAAAAGGTGTCAGCACAGAAAAATTCATCACTAAGGAGTAAATCTTATAAGTGAAAATAATGTAGATGGCTGTTGGATATATCGAATTAACCATCTCTATCTAGTGGGGATATTATTGATGAACTCGATTTTTTAATCATTGGATCTACTTTTCTCATTGGAGAGAAATGCATCTAATTTCAATAAAGCACATTCAAAAATGATGAACTAAAATGGTATCTTATTTTGAAAAAAACAAATAGATTTCTGTCACTTTTATTAGGGCACTCACATTTCTAAAATTCAAAAAAATTTAACGATTTTTGATGATTTGATTATTACTGGGGATCACTAAAATTCAAAAAAGAAACATACTTCTTTTACTACTTCATTAATAGTGTTTTCCTTCTAGTAACACTAATAAAATTTAAATTTCTGAATACCATAACAAAATTAGACACTCATAAAAGCTGTTTTGGATTTCTTAAGGATGATGTCAGTTTCAGATTCATCATCTGAACTGAAAATATATTTGCTCAAGGTCTTCTCCCCAGACAAAAGAAACACGATTAAATTTTATAACATTAAATTTACATAATAATTTAATAATATTTTTGTATCTATGTATATACTCCTGCGTTTTTAACTATACAAAAGTACAAAACTCTGCTGGCATAAATATTTTGACTTGTTTTGTGACAGTTTTAGGTAAAAGACATGCACGTAGCCAATCGTTAACGGTTTCAGTGTTTTTGAAATTTTAAGAAATTGAAAATCAGATGCTGGTAATGACCCTAGAATACATCATAGTTGGGGACAGCTGTGGTTTTGTCTAAGCTCGGGGTGCTTTTAAACAAAGGCTGTTTCCTGGTCTCTGCTTTTTCTTAGAATCAGGTGATTTCATAACACAAGGTAGAATGTCCGCCTGTTTCCCGTTGCTTACACACAGAGGCAGAGCATTCCTACATTCTCCACTTTTTAAATCCTTGAACACACAGGCAACGGTGTCAAAATCTACCATTAGGTATCCAGGTTCAGAGACGGTGGCCTCCATCTCTACCCCACCCACATAATAATAAGAGGGATGTTCTCCACATTGCTATCCCCTGCCTTGGACAGCACTGTGACATCACAGACACAGTGAGCTCCGAGCGGGCCATGGCACCTGGAGTGTCTGGTGTTGGCACACACCCAAGACACGGCAAAAGGACCAGGGGCAAGTCCTTCCCCCAAACTAAGGGCAACCTTACTGGCTTACTGTTGTATTCAGAGAGACTATCAAATGGGGGAGCCCTGTATGATGTAGAAAAAAATTCCTTTTTTCTTATAGAATCCACATGGATGGGGGAAATAAATCATCTATTATCCATTTATGATCTTTAGAGAACACAGTCTCTCCCACCACTGCCGGGCTGTCCAATAGCGAATGCATGCTCTGGTTATTTTCCTGTAGGTGTAAGTACCTGGGTAATTTCGTATAGGAGTACATCTTCACATGTATATATGTACAGACATAGATGAGCACACACACACACACACTGGTGCTGTGTAGACGCACATCTATGCATATTTTAAACCACGTATGTGGGTGTTCCCTCAACTCAAATATTTTTGTGTTTCGGTTGCCCCCCCCCCCCCCCCCCCCACAAACTGTGCACCACCATTATCCTGATGATGTATCTTGACTTGAGTTCATTGTACTCGGGGATGGTCTGGAATAGAGTAAATTTTCCAATCATAAAGATTTAATAGATTTGAAAAAGTAAAGGTTAGTAAAAGAGAAATAATCATCCTTTTGTTCTAATCAATCGAAGACTTTTTATTTATTTATCTATCTTTTACTTCATTGAGAATATTGTCACGTGCAAATTAGCTTCCTTAGATTCAGAAAAGACAAAACTCGGTAAAGGTCTTTTAAAAATGCTCACGAGTTCAGATCTTTTCATTTGAAGCAAGGCGTTTTTGAATTTCTTGACAGTGAAACAAAGCAAATAATGGTTGTTTTCTGCACTAACAAAATAAATAAGTTAACACATCAGGAAAATCTCCCACATTGGGCGAACTACTAAAAGGTATCCTCGAAATAGAATTTTCATTGTTCCAAGGCAAAAAAATCTAGGAAGCATCTTAATTCATTCAGTTCCTCTGCTTTGCGGTGTCTTGTTAATAATAAGTTACAGACTGGATCTTCAGTATTCTTTGTGTAAAAGGAAACCTAATAGGCTTAATGTGGGACCATTTTTAGATTTAAATTTAGGAGTATAATTCAGACTGCAAAGTCTGTGAGTTAAAAACCACCCATCCATGATAAAAAGGCTCTTATGAAAGATTGGAGAAGTCAGGCCCAAAGGCTTGTAAATCAAAACAATAATTTAATCAAGTCTGATCTGTGGATTCAAGGTATGTGGGATATGCATGTGAACTGGGTCCTGGTTCCAATCCTCAGCTTGGATATTTTGCTGTTCCAAATTCAGGGAGATCTCAATTCTGCAAATAGTCAATCGAGATGAGCAAAACCGCAGACAAAACTGAAATTCAGGGTTGACTGGACCTGGTCTTGGTCTTGTTTTCGGAGGGAACTCTTGTCCGTCCTGGTGACTGACTGCGATGTTCCAGGAGCAGCTGGGACTAGCAGAGGTGCCCAGAAGTGCCCAGGAGAGGAAGGTCTCTCAGAAGTACCTGCCACTTCTTTGGGGGCGGTGGGCGGGGGACGTGGCCGTGTCCCCGGTCCCTCCAAGCCTTGGAGCAGTTCAGTACCTTTCTGGAGAAGGCTTGTAATGATGCAGGTGATGGTGTTTCAGGTGGGGTCCTAGAAGTGACAAAACCTCTCAGTCACATGGCCCCATACATAGTGAATAATAGTGCAAACCCATGGACTCCTCAGGATGGCTGTGGACTGCAGCCAGCGCTGGCTGCCTCTGTGGGGAATCTTTCCTATTGCAACCCTGAGGGCCCAGACACACGTTCATCCATTCTCTTCTCTGTCTTGCCCCAATTTCCCCTCCGTCTTTCCTTGTGCCCACCCCCAAACCGTAAAATGACCAAGAGAGAAGCTCCTAAACCTTCATGCAAATCATAATCTTCTTTATTATTTCCTCAAAACACCATTTTAAAAATGAACAAATGATTTTGGTAAACAGAATTTCAAAGGAGATTTGGAGAGGAACATTTTATTTAACTGTTATAAATGCAAAGACAGGGCTTGCAAACTCTCTCATTGAGACAGTTTTTGTTTTTCTGCAAACCACAAAGCAAACCAGGTCGTAGATGCAAATGCTATCCACTGTTTCAAAAAATCAGAGTTCAAGTTCAAAGGCAGGCTCAGCAACTTAGAGAGACCCTAAGCAGCTTAGCGAGACCCTGTCTCTAGATAAAAAATAGAAAGGGTTGAGGAAGTGGCTCAGTGGTTTAGCGCTCCTGGTTCAATCTCCAGTACCCCCCCCAAAAAAAAATTAGATTGATCTCAATTTTCTTATCCATACACAAATCTTTAAGAATTGGCTTTTGAATTTAAGCAATAAAAACTTTAATGAACTCCATGATATAAACATCATCAAGAGGCTATTCATTTGGGAAGAGTAAGTGAACATATCTTTCATCAATTTTACTTAATTTGGCTCTAAATAGAGTAGATACAGTGGGTGTACTATAGTAAAACTCCTGCCATATATAATCGTAAAATCTCTAATAAAAAAAATGAGCATCTTCACAAAAATCAGTTCTTGTGTTTTAATATCTGAAAATCTTGATTTTTCCTGGTGAGGTGGCACACACCTGACTTCCCCGCGGCTCAGGAGGCTGAGGCAGGAGGATCCTGAGTCCAACAGGCATGCAGTAAGCACCCTCCACATACTTTTCACTAAAGCAAATCCAGTAAATAGATACAGGCGGGGACCATCTTGTTCCAGATAAGGAGAATTCCTGCTTCCCAGACATGCATACTAACCAATGCCTTGTCCTCACTTTTCACCAAGATCTTTCCCTGCGCCCGCAAGGCCTGCCCGGGCACCTGGCCCCCCGAGTCTACTCACTGTGGGCAGCCGAGGGCGGCAGGCCTGGGGTGCGGAAGGTCTTGATGGTGGCGGGCCCCTCTCCTCCGGTGGTGAGCACTTGAACTTCCAGCCGGTAAAGGGTAGATGGCCTCAGGTTGGGCACCGTTAGCACGTGATGGTCCTGCAGAGTGACATGCCACAGAGGCTCATCAGTGACCTTCTAGCGGCAGCTGCATGTGTGTGTGTGTGGGGGGGGGACACAGTCTGTGGGGAGCAGAGTGTCATAGACATGCGTGTTGGCTGGCTTCTGAAAGCCACAGTTCAGCCTGGACAAGGCTTCTCCTAATTTTCTGGACTTCTCTATGTGGTTTCTTAGCACCTGACTCAATGTCTGGCAGCCCGAGACCCTGGGCAGAGTTCAAGTGTGCCCAGATGCCAGTTCTCAGCCCTCCCATTCCCACCCCCCCCCCCCGATTCCTTCACATGAGACTTTCCCATGGAGTAAGGTTCTCAGCGGCTCATCTTGTGATGTGAATTCTTGATGATCCAAATGTCGGTGAGGGAGCCAACGAGTCTCCTGACCACACAATCCACCTGTCAATGCCCATAACCGAGTCCAACCGTGGACATTCATAAAATAACGACTTTCCCGTTTCCACGGAACCTCTCCTCCCGGGATTTTTAAGGTGTTTTTTGTTTCGGATTGTCTTTTGAATTTTGGAGCAAGATTTGGATATTCTAAGAAGGTTTTCAGACAGGGTGGAAAAAGAAAAAAAGCCCACACATGATTTTTTTTTTCTTCCCAAGCCAAGGAATTAAGTGGCTTGGAAGAGTGTCCAACTAATTAGGGGCTGTCGCCAAATTTGAATGGGGGAAGGAAAGACAAACAACAAACTTCTTTGAGCTATTTTTCCCCCCAGTTCAGCACTTCAAACAGGGCATGTCCACTTGGACCAGAGGGACACAGGGGTTAGATTTATTTTTATGTGATACTGGGGCTCGAACCTCCCACGGGCCGGACAAGTGCTCTCCCGCTGAGCGACAACCCCAGCCCCAGTTCTCAACTGGGATCCTTGTGACGAGGTCTAGCGCTCACAAAATGATGCGCTCAGGGGACAGGTGCAGAAACGAGAGTCCAGGTCACGGTGGGCAGCAAGACCCACCTAAGCTACTCGGACGGCCATGGGAACTGAGCCTCGGACACCAACATCGGGGGTCTGGGGAACCAAGGGACACCTACTGAAGGCAGTATCTGGGACTGTGAGATAATGCTGTTGGGCAAACTGTTCTGCCTGCTCTCCGTGGTGACCTCGGCCCACGTCACTTGAAACCCAGTCATGGGCTGGTAGAGGTTGGCTTTGGTCATCTTCCAAGAAAAGTGGCCAGTGATGTTGACGTCTTGGACGACGAAGGAGGCAGAAAGGTTCTCTGGCTTGGCCAGGACTTTGGACAAAATGGGACCTGTGGGAATGCAAAGCGAGGAGGTCAGGGTCAGGCTCCTGCAGAGAGCGTCCCCAGGGGCTGGTGGGTGTGTTTCTCATACAGAAAAACAAACTCATAGCAACTGCAGGCAGCCGGTCTGCAAGGAGGAACATTTTCAAAGGGTCACTGACCACCAGGGACCTGGACGGGCAACGAGTTCTTCCTACCTGTGTCACCGGGACAATTAACGTGCTTGTGGCTTTTCCCCTTCAGAGCCGAGCATGGCGGGGTAGAGAAGAATATGGTCTCTGCCTTCGAGTGGCTCTTTGGCCGGAGAGGTTGGACGCTCACCTTATATTTGCAGGAAAAGGACAGGTCCTGAAGAATGATGTAATTTTCCTGGAACAAGAGAAAGAGACACAGAGCAATAAATAATAAATCCTTGGGAGGCTGAGGCAGGAGGATCGTGAGTTCAAAGCCAGCCTCAGCAAAAGTGAGGCGCTAAGCAACTCAGGGAGACCCTGTCTCTAAATAAAGTACAAAATAGGGCTGGGGACGGGGCTCAGTGGTCAAGGGCCCCTGAGTTCAATTCCTGATACAAAAAATAATAATAATAATAATCCAGACATTTTATGCAGTTAAAATAAAGGAGACAGATATTCGGAAAAAGTCTTCCACTGTCCTAGGGACTCTGTAAGCACTGTGCTGGCCACAGAAGGTCTCAAGGCAGTGGTATAAATGGATAAAGGTGGAGTGGACACCATCTTGGGTATTCCAGCTGCCCGCAGGTCATTATGTAATAGCAGTTGGTGAGAATGAGTTATCCGTGGCACGAATGTGGTTTGCACAGCCCTCTGACTGTTACATGCACAAACCAAATGCATCCCCAAACTACACACAGCCAACGAGTACAGTCGTCTCCTTACGTGGGTCACAGCAGATGATGTCTCCGATCCGGCCGTTTTGTTGTGAGCACACACCTCTGGAAACCACTGCACGTGGTATCTATTGATGCTGGGATCTGTGGTGTCGAAACACACAAAAGAAACAGCCTGGTAGTCACGTTCCACATGTGTGAGTCAGCATGCCATGACTGTCACAAATACCTGACAGAATCAACTTATAGAGAGAAAAGGTTTATTTTGGCTCCGGGGTTCAAGATCACCCTTGGGCAGACACATTGCTTTCAAGCATCCAAGAAAGCAGCTCACCATGGTGGGGACAACAGGCTGAGCCAACCTGCTCCCCGCATGGTCAGGGAGTGAAAAGAGAAGAAGAAGAAGAGGCCAAGGTCCCTCAGATTCCTTGGAGACATGTCCCCAACAACCAAAAGACCTCCCACTAGGCCCCACCTCTTACAAAGGCTCTGTCACCTCCCAGCCAAGTTGGGGACCAAATCTTCAACACATGGGCCCTGAGGGACATTCTAGGTCCAAGCTAGAGTACCATGTAGCCTGATGTTCTTAAAACGGAGAGAACAGAGCCCGGCGCAGTGGCACACGCCTGTAATCCCAGCAGCTCGGGAGGCTGAGGCAGGAGGATCAGGAGTTCAAAGCCAGCCTCCGCCAAAGTGAGGCCCTAAGCAACTCAGGGAGACCCTGTCTCTAAATAAAATACAAAATAGGGCTGGGGACGGGGCTCAGTGGTCGAGTGCCCCTGAGTTCAATCTTCAGTACCCACCCCCCCCAAAAAAAAAAAACTGAGAGAGCAGGAAGACAGAAAATAAAATTCTACAGGCACGTATAAAAAAATGCATAGTCAAAGGCGGTATGCAGCTTCAGTAGAAATCCTGATTATTTAGTGAATATGGAGAATAAACCTGTGTTGAAATTTAAGCACAGCAGAGAAATACAGCAATGACTCAGTGCAACATTATTAGTCACCCCAATGTGCCCCGGGGTGCGAAAGGCCAGGCTCTGCCCCTGATTAACCTCTCATCTGGAACATTCACGCCAAGCGTTTGCTGAGGGTTTTCAGATGGGAAGGAATCTCTTTGAAAAAATTGGGTTGATCTGGTGGGAACTGGTTTTGAGCAACTTGGAAGCAGACAAGAAGCTATTGAAATAAGAGAGAATAAACAGATATAAAGTGGGCACCCGTGACATTGAGTTCAAAAGGCAATGGCTTACGAAGGGGCTCTCATGCTTACATGGCAGACATCAAGGCCCCTTTAAAAAAAAAAAAAGAAGAATTCTGCATTATACGTAAGGATGAAGTCAATCCATGAGTAATGGACCACATAGAAAGGGCCGCTCTCCTGCATCCTGCAAATGGATGGAACTAGGCTAATAATAATGAACAAAATACACCAGTAAAATACATGTTAGGCAGCTTGGAAGGCTGAGGCAGGAGGATCGTGAGTTCAAAGCCAGGCTCCGCATCTCAGCAAGATGCTATCTCTGAATAAAATATAAAAAAGGGTTGAGGATGAGGCTCAGTGGTTAAGTACCCCTGGGTTCAATCCCTGGTACCAAAACAACAACAACAAAAAGATGTATGTTAAGTTAGAAGATCATAGGTCTACAGATAATTACAGACACTGGGGTGGTAGGGCATATTGACCACAAGCTAGCACTTTACATATGGTGGCTCACACTGGAGCAAGGAATGGGGACACCCACACTCAGTGTCCCCAACTCTGCACACTTGATCTCTGCCCCTAAATCACCCACACTGCACTCGGGGTGCAGGAGGTAACCTTGAGCGCAACATGGGTGTCGGGAAACTCGTCCCCCAAACTCACTGAGCCTCTGCCCTTTCTCTGTAACTAAGGATGCAAACAAGGGCAGGGCCAGGGGCTGGGCAGGTGTTTGAAGACCAGCAATGTGCGAAGCCCCTGTGGCCAGACAGACGCCACCTGTGGTTGCTTCGAACACCAGGGACGGGTTCTCTTGGGCAGATGGACGGCTGGAAGGGCTTCTCTCTGGGCTCAAATCAAGGTGCTGGATGGCTGTGCTCCTCCGGAGGCTCCAGGGGAGAATGAGTCTTCATGTCCTCTCGAGTTTCCGGAGGGTTATGGTGACCTTCCTCCATCTTTAAGTCACTGAGTGGCTTTCCTTTGACTTCAGAAGAGAGATGGTAGGCCACCCGGCCTACCAGGTCTCGCCTCGTGACATTCACGGCTGCCTAGGCAGGGCCCTCTCATGTAGCGTCCCCTCTGATTGTCGGGTGGTTTGTTCCTGGGACTGTTGGACTCATCCTGAGACCCCATTTGGCTACAGCTGCATGAACTCCAAGATGGCACCCACTCGGTGTCACTTTTGGGTGCCCAAAGATGACCACCTTACAAGATAGGGATATACTCAGCAAACATTTATCAAATGACAAGCGAATGAGTGCTCACTCACTCATAATCTAACACAGGAAAGAAAAACAGTGTGCTCGAGGAACTATATTGCACTAGGGAGGTAAAAGCAATCTGGGAACATAAAATATTAAATAAGCTCAGATTTTAAATGTCCTCAATAATTTTATTTTTGATTTTTTAAAAAAATTTAATTTGGGTACTGAGGATTAAATCCAGGGGTGCTTAACCACTGAGCCACATTCCCAGCCCTTTTTAATTTTCAGTTTTGAGATAGGGTCTTGCTAAGCTGCTTAGGGGCCTGCTAAGTGGCTGAGGCTGAGGCTGGCCTTGAACTTGTGGTCCTCCTGCCTCAGCCTCCTGAGTCACTGGGATTATAGGTGTGTGCCACCCGGCCCAGCCTCCTCCATGATTTCAAACGGTGCTCCAAGAGGCCAATTTGAGGAGATTTCTTTTAAAAAGACAAACCAGGGTCAGCCTTTGAAGCTCAGTGGTAGAGGACTTGCCTAGGACGTGGGAGGTCCTGGTTTCATAGGCCAACACCACAAAACATAGATAACTGCATAAAATAAAAAATAAAAGGCAAACTGCAACGCTCACACTTGTTTATGTTTTTTGAGCTGAACTAAAAAGAATCAGTTTGGAGACCCTCACTCCCCCAATAGTCATTTACAGAAAATGTCTCTACCTTCCTCTTCCAAGTTATTGAGATCTTAAGAGCTCACACTTTAGATGTTGAGTGCAGAGCTTGACCTGTACCCAGAATATTAAACGCAACATTGTTCAAGCAGACAATGAATAGGAAATATTGGGAAAAAATAGCAATACATTGGTAAAAAGTAATACAAATGAAAAGAGTATAAAACAGTTGTTATAAAAAGTAAAAAGTAATACAAATGAAAAGAGTATAACAGTTGTATATAAATAGTTTTTACATAGTGTTTACATTGTATTAGGTATTACAAGTTGCTTAGAGATGATATAAAGCATACCGAAGAAGGTGTATAATTTATATACAAATATAATAATTCTATATCAAGCACGTGAATATCCACAGGGAATTAGGGACCGATCTCCTGCAGACACCAGGGTACAACTGTACATGAAAATTCTATCGTGACTGCCCAATTAATCTACTTCTGAACTCCATTCCTTCCTTCCACAAACCAATAGCATCAGGTAGAAATCCTCGAAAAAGTATTTTTAAATTTGGGAATTTACTTTCAATATGCCCCAAACATGAGATGCATTCAATCTGTTTCTCAAAGACATCGAACTCGCCGTGCACAGTGTAAATGAAGAGAGCTAAAATTTTCCGTTGATTGCAAACGCCTACGTTCATGAAAGGCTCATGATCAGGCACCATGGATTTCTTGACATTGCAACTCTGAGAACCAGAGTGCATCTTGGGGTACCCGAGGACAACAGCCGTCCTGGGAACCAGAGGTCACAGCTGCAGCGAGAGGGGACATACGTTTGGAAGGGCACTATAGAAGGTCAACTGCATTGAGGTAGAGATTTCTTTCTGTTTCTGGTTGCAGTGTTTCAGACCCTGGAAATGGTGCCTGGTAGGTGGTAGAGTCCTTGCCCAGGGTGGTAGATGGACATAACCTTGGTGGGACGGCACTTTCTGGTTCTCATACAACCCATAACCATTTGGAGACCCCTGCTAGGCACCTCTGCTTAAAACAGTAGCATGAAGTCCCCTTTCTCTCTGAGCTCATTTTTCCTATTTATGCTGTAAAAACACCAAGTCCAGAGCCGGAAGGCCGGCCGACACCAAGTGCCTGTTCTGTTACCACACAGCAAAAATGAGCTATGCCCCCAGGAGCCTAAAATCACAAACAACATCAGCTGAGAGAAGTATTTGGTTAAAGATGATACGCGATCCCACAAATTCAGTGTTGAGTAGACTTTCTCACTTAGCACTCCGGCTTACAACCCAACTATCATGTCCAAGCTGCTAAACACAAGTCACAAGGACATTGGTTTTAAAATCCATGCCACTTCCTTGTTTTGGGATGTGGTCTCTTATTGCCCAACGGTTATATCATGTTGTAATGTCAAATTCGATACCACTGTGCACCCCGATGTTGGCTGATGAATACAGACAGAATTTCTCGCCTGTATGTTTTAAATGATTGATTCACAGATTTGAGAAAATGATAGTTTAAATGATCCAAGGTTAGAAATAAATACGGAGAATATCAACGTAACAGCATTTCTGGATTCAGAGTCAGAATATGAATAAAAAATGCAGTTATAAAATACCAAAAGCAAGCATGACAAAATGAAGCTCAGAAAACACATGTCATCTATAACAGGATCAAAATGAACACATCTTGGAATAACCACAATAAAAGGTCTTATTGTCTCTTTATAATAATATATCAGGAGACGGGATTGACAGGAAAATTTAAAATCTGAATAAAGCAATATACCACCACGCTTACAGGTTGTAAGATTCAGTATTTTTATTATTTGATCATTTTTCTGTTGTGATTCTAGAGATTGAATCCAAGACCCTTTGCATGCTAGGAAAACTATCAACTGAGCTATATCCCAGCCCTCAGTTGTATACTTATTTATTTGGTACTGGGGACTGAACCCAGGAGTACTTAAACACTGAACCAAAACATTAGCCTGTTTTGTTTTGTTTTGTAATTTTTATTTTGATACGGGGTCTCGCTGAGTTGCGTAGGGCCTCCTTAAGTTGCTAAGACTAGCCTCCAACTTGTGATCCTCCAGCCTCTGCCTCCCAAACCACTTGGATTATCGGCATGAATGACCATGCTGGGCAGTATTTTTAAACAAGATGTGAATTCTCCAATCATGAATACATAGATGAATTTCGACATTCATATAAAGCACAAAAGGTTTGTGTAGGAACTGAAGGATTGATTCAAATAGTTACGGTAAAATGCAAAGGGCTAAGAGTTCTCGAGACAATTTGTAAAAACAAGTAAAAAACCCAAGGACGTCTCATGAAACTAATTAATAAGTCTACAGTGGTTAAGACTGTGAGCTATTGTCTCAAAATTGAAAAATTATGTCAAAGGACAATATGAAAATTCCCCAAAGTAACCTGCATATGTTTGCTTAATTGGGTACAAACCTAGTACCACAGAGCTTTAGAAAAAGACTCGTTTTCATTTATTTATTTATTTGGCACCAGAGATTGAATCCAAAGGGCACTCAACCACTGAGCCACCTCCCCAGCCCTTTTTATTTTTTATTTTAAGACAGATTCTCCCTAAGTTGCTCAGGGCCTTGCTAAGTTGCTGAGGCTGGCTTTGAACTTGGGATCCTCCTGCCTCAGCCTCCTGAGCTGCTGGGATGACAGGTACACACCACCACCACACTGGAAAGTTTTAGCATTATTAAGAAATATGGTTGATATTAACATTATTCTATAATTTTATTTAACAGTTGATCAATGCAATAGATCAAATAAAATTTAATGTTATATTTTTATAAATTAATTTTAATATGGATATGTGATTCTGCTATATAATCATTTAATAAATGTTTAATGAATTATAAATTCAATTAACTTATGCTAGGAATGAAGTACATTAATTATAAGAGCTATGTTGCTTTGTTTATAGAATAGTTCTCAGCAGCTTGAAAGAAAATTCTGGAGCAAAAAATTACTCTGACATCAATATTCCTTATGAACCATCAAAGCCCTGAATAAAAAGGACTTCAGAAGAATGAGAATTTGTAAAACTGAACAGTTAAAAACCACCTGTTTTGCTTATGTTTTTAAGATGCATAGAAGCCTTTAAATTTTGTATGTCATGTATTCTAAAGTACTCTTGCCACAATTAATATCCTCAGGGTAAAGGAAACAAAAGAAATTTATACCAAAGATAAATGCTCAGAGAAGAAGAATCTACCCCAAGGAGAAGTGTTCATTATAGCATTGATTATGAAATTGGAAATTATATGGGAACCTCCATGTCTTGCTGTACTGGAATAGTGAGGTGGTATATATAGGATGCAGCCACTTGAAAATGTTAGGAGAACTGTGTGGTGATAGCACATACCCATGCAATGCTGAGTGTCAATAATTGTGTATGTTTTATGCACACATATGCACACATGCACCGGAAACACCTGATTGAAACACAGATGCGTACACAGCTTCTGAAAGAACACCAATCCACATGCAATTCTTTTTTTTTTTTTTAAATAAAAATTAATTTAGCCAGGCAGGGTGTTGCATACCTGTAACCCCGGCATCTCGGGAGGCTGAGGCAGGAGGATCGTGAGTTCAAAGCCAGCCTCAGCAAAAACAAGATACTAAAGCAACTCAGTGAGACCCTGTCTGTAAATAAAATTCCAATAGGGCTGTGGAGTAGGCTCAGTGGTCGAGGGCCCCTGAGTAAAATCCTTAGTATAAAAAAAAATCCTATATTTATTTATATCACTGTGCAATTTAACACAAGTAATAATGAAGCAAAAACTCCTGGCCTACCTTCTGTCTTTTTCCAGTAGACCTTGACTTGCAGCTGGTTGTCTTGGTAGAAAGGAGCTCCGATTTCCAGGGGGTGCGGGGGCCGTCTTCTTTGGAAGGGGGGCTGTGTTTGGATCACAGCTTTTCTGGGTTTCCCAACCTGCTCTTCTATGAAAAAAAAAAAACAAAACAGCACTTTAATTGACTTACTGAGAAAAATCTGATATTAACTCCAGGGTATTTCCCACGATCCTGTCCCTCTTTCCCAGCCTCTTGGTCCCTGTGGAAGGTGATGAACGTATGTTCTTTTATGTTTGAGATAATGACCCCCAACCGCTTCCCAATGCGCCGGAATGCCTGCTACAGGTGTGTTACACAGAATTCCCAGACCTTAAATTGGTAGTCCATCTATGTTTACCGTGTTTGCACTTCAGAAAAAGGAACAGGTAACATTTCCCATTGTAGATAAGCATTTAAAAAAAAACGAAGAATAATAAGAAGAATGTGCTCTTGTTCACTACCACTTTTGAAACATGGACTTTTTTTTTCTATTCTCTATTTAAAAATGTTCTCAAGACATAATCAGAGAGTGAGAAAAGCAAGAGTCATCCTTACTTTTATATATGAGCTTGAAAAACTCCATATTCAACAAGAGCTCAGGATATGCTATGATGAATAATATAATATAATATGCTATAATATAATTTCAGAATATTTCTTTGAAATAAGCCATTCAAACTTTGACTCTTTTTTTTTTGTACCAGGGATGGATTCCAGGGGGGCTTAACCACTGAGCCACATCCCCCAGTCCTTATTATTATATATTTTGAGACAGAGTCTCGCTGAGTTGCTTTGGGCCTCTCACTAAGTTGCTGAGACTGACTTTGAACTTGAGATCCTCCTGCCTCAGCCTCCCGAGCTGCTGGGATTCCTGACATGTGCCTACACCTTTACTTATGTGAATTTCATGAAAAAGCAGCACAAATGGTACGGGGCATAGTGACATGGATGTCGGATGTTGGTAGGCCTGTGCATATGCATTTTCTCAAGCCAAAGGTAGGACCCCTGAGTGACTGCTGTGAACATCCTTAGGTGATGCTTCCTGGTGTCTGCAGACGGGTGGTAAGTATGTGTTACAAAGGAACATAGCTATCACCTGCCTTGATCACTAGACACTATGTTGGGGACTGGTTGATTGGGTGGTCAGGGGAAGGCCTCTCAATTTAAGCTGAGGCTGGGTTAACAGGAAGAAGCCTGTCGGGGAAAGTGTTTGAGCCAGGAGATGCCCTGCATGGAGAAGTGTGATTCTCATGCTTCCAGGCAATAGAGTCCAGCAACTAGCGCTGTCAGGGGGATGAGTAATAAGGGCTGCTTAACAAGGCAGGATGGGTCCTAATCCCATCAGACTGGGTTCCTATAGAAAGAGGAGTTTAGGATGCAGATGTGCACAGAGTTAAGACCCTGGGAGGACAGGCAGGGGACACCTGTATGCTAATGGAAAGGTTGGAGGAAGGCTCAGAAGAATCGGCATCGCTGGCACCTTGGTCTTGAACTCAACTTGCAGAACTATGAGAAAATACATTTCTGTTGTTTAAGCCCCTCACTCTGGAGGGGATGGGGTACAGTAGCCCCAGGAAACCAAGACAGTAGAAATGGAAATATCCCTTCCAGGGACACTGGGTACAGGGATGTTGAAGATTGGCTACTTCTTATTCCTTATTCTATGAACATTGCAGAAAATCTGAAGATACCAAGATGCGCAGAGAGTCAGATCAAAATAACCTGATTGGAAAATGTAAAGTGACTGACTAAAGATACTCAAGTAACTAACAGGATGCTGAATCCTGTCTCTTTTCCACCCGCCTTGGACACAGCCCCTGATACAGTAACTCTTGTCAAGTTGGATCACAGTGAGACCAAACTCAGGATCTCCTGATATTTGGAGATATTTTCCTATTTGGAAACCAACAATTGGTACATATTTAGCTGCACTCTTGCAGGTCCTGCTGGGGAGGTGACCTGGTCAGGGCACCATGACCCCAGTGGGTGGTGGAGGACCAGCCTGGGATTCCCTAAGAGGGTTAAAGGGGCAGCAGGAGTGGGCCTGCAGAGGGGTGGGCTCTTGTGCATATGCAGCAGCACAGCCAGTCGGGGTGTGGGCAGAGGGGCCATGAGGATCAGATGGTGCCCATTCCATAGCAGAGCTATGTATCTGGAGTGATGTTTGCCTGGCACCTCAAGCCAGGTACAGAACTGATAGAATCAGAGGGCAGAGGTGTCTGTGAGAGGGGAGACTGGCACTGCTGCCCCTGGCTGGATGCTCCCCAGTCAAAGACCTTCTCAGGACTCTCTCCAGTTGCCACCAGAAGAGTAGCAGCTAGGGTTCGAGAGAGGATGGCATGCCAGGTCCCTGGGTGTGCCTGCCGTGGGGCAGAAACTAGCGCTAGCCTCTCAGCAGGAGAGGTCTACTGGTGCAGAGCTGCCTTGACCTGGACACCTTCCTGGGGCCAAAGGAGGTTTCCAAGAGGAACAGGATGGAGTCACTGTCTGGGGCTCGGAAAATCCACTGCAGGGCCAGGCAAGGTGGTGGAGTGGGGCTGGAGGTGCGCCATGGGAGGCCAAGCCATGCTGGGTGGGGAGTCTGAAGAAGTCAGGGTGCATCACCCATGTAAGAGGTACCTGCAGAACACAGGACCCCAGAGGGGTTCCCAAAGGCTCCCCAAAAGTACTTCAAGTGGAGAGCTACGGATGCCCTTCAGGACCGAGGACCACCAACAGCTAGAGGGATCGCCAGAGGGCCCTGGCCAGGGGAAGACACTTGGCCTTGGTTGTCTGTCTATCCCACCTCTCCTGCCCCCACTTGTCCATGAGCCAGATGAAGCTGGGGGAGGGGAGTGTGTGCAGGGGGAAGGGCAGCCTGGAGGGGGAGGGGCTGCCCCCCACACTCAAGGCCTACTGTGTGCTGAGTGTGAGACACAGGATGGGCACCCCAGGCTCAGCACCCCACGGCCTGAGGGCCAGGTCCAGCCTGGACCACTCACATGGTGACCCTGAGGCTTACACACTTAAGTGTCTGACAGAGACAGGAGAAGGGGTCTGTGATACCTGCAAAGGACCTGCTTTTCCAAACTCAGTCTCCACACATAAATTTTCTTGAAATATATCCTCAAACTTTGGGGTAACCTCTGTGCATGGCAACTTTGCAGCTACAGATGAAGAGCTGGGCTGCCCGGCAGTTTAGCCACCTAGTATTGGCCCCACCCAGAAGTGTGTGTGTGTGTGTGTGTGTGTGTGTGTGTGTGTGCGCACAGGGATGGGGTAGAGTGAGCGGTGGGGGTTGGACCTACATCCAAGACTGGAGAGAGCTTAGCATTTACAGGAGAGACAGAGAGGAATAATGGACCCCAAGGTTCAGGACAATCCTATCCTACAGGGGAGCCCACCCCAAATGCCCAGAGTGTCTCAGTTGATACACTCAGAGGCCGAAGCCCTTCTTCTGTCATTGGCACACAATGCCCTGTCCATCCTAGACATGAATGATGCAAACTTTCAAGCTACAAGGTTGATTTTTTTTTTTCCGGTTTCCCTGAGAAACTCTAGAACACCTACGATTTTTCTCTCAGAGCTTGCCATCCCTCCAGCCCCACCCCAAAGTGTGTTGGTGTATTTCCTGGTCTCTCTTCTGCTCTACCCTGGACACCACGCTCCATGGGAAGAGGCACTGCTAGGGTTAAAGCTGTGTCCCCTGCCTCTCAACAGGAAGACCATGAAGCTTAAGTTCCAATACTGTGTGGAGACTTTGCATACAAAGATCAGCCCAGGCAAAGTGTCCAAAGGCCCTGGCCTGGTTTCTGCCTTCTTTATCACATCAGAAACACAATTTCATACTTTCTGTATCATTTATATAGTGGAATAATATTAACTATGTTAAGGAATACAGAATATCTTACGTTATTATTAGTAATGTGTCCATTACTATTTTAAAATATTTTAACCAACTTCATTGATAAATGATAAGTTCATATTTAATCAACAACATATAAGCTATGTAAATGTAGAGATAAACACATCAGTATGTTACAAAGCACATCCTGAGAACATTGACGGATAGTTATATAACATGATTTATACAAAAAAGGGCTACACACATTATTATACTTCTAATCTTTATTACTTGAAAGCTTGTTATTAAAATTTCCCCTTTTCTTCTTGTAAATTAGCTTGATTGATGGCTTCCACTGAGAGCAATGTGAGCCATTGTAAATTGGCTGGAGACACTGGATTGGCACAGCTGCCCCTCAGAGACCAGGGAGGCTGCTCCCCCCACCCATACACAGGACAGCACCAACCACCGGAAGGTCAGGCCCCACCCTCTACAGTGTCCAGTTGGACAAACTACAGGGGAGAGTCTTGGAAAGAAAGAACAGGACAATCTCTAGGAAAACAAACCTTCTCTATTCCCATCACTGCTCTAGGAAACAAGAAGCAGCGCTTAACTAAGAAATGGGCACGTGGGCGGAGGGCGCCTCCCTGGTCAGTCTCTTCCCAGGGAGAAGCGGGAGTGGGCGGCCAGGGGTGAGGGGTCAACAGTCTCCTAGAGTGGGGGCTCCTCAGGTGACACAGAGGAGGGCTGAGGGTGGCACACCTGTGAGTCCAAGCAGTGGCCAGTCCGCTGGTGGCCAAGCCTCCCCGTGGGGTAGAGCGGAGTCAGTAGGAGACGATGGTGACGGTAGGTCTGTATCTGAAAAGAAGGCGGCCGTTGGGGCCGTCAGGGGTACCATGGGGCTGAACAGACTTCGGGGCTCAGGGGGGCTCCTCTGCTGAGGCTGCTGAGCAGGGCGGCCAGGCCCGAGGCCCCTGGACTGGGGGGCAGTTGCTCCCGGGTCTCCAGCTGCAAGACGGTGTCCTTGGCCGGTGCAGTGCTTGCACCAGGGGACACAGCGGGCACGGCCAGCCAAGGGGTGGCTGGGGGGCAGACCCTGCCTGGGTCTCCTGGGCACTGGGCCGAAGATTCTGGTGAGAGGTTCTGGCTGGGGCGCGAAGGGCCGCACCACTCCCTTGCTGATCACAGGCACGAAAGCCGAGGGCCGGGGTTCCCGGGTCTTCGGGGGCTCTGGAACCTCAAGCTTGGGATCCTCGGGCTTGGGGACCTCGGGCTTGGGGACTTC